CACCCAAAAAAGTAGGACTAAACAGAAGAACTGTGAAGACTGCAGTTTTGGTTCCTTTATGTGGCAATACAAAAGTTATGGTTTGAACAGCTAAATATGATTAGATTAAGACAAAAGGTTATGCTGAAAAAGAACCAATAATGCTTTAGATCATAGCAGACACAGCTTTGCTTTTTGTAGAATATATTATAATACTGTTTCTCTACGAGGATTGCCGTGAAGTTTTACACTAACTGCTCCTTTCAATATACTCTTCTTCCCAATGCTATTCTTACCCTCATTTTCTACACTAATACTCAAACACTATTTATCTTATTATATGCTGAATAGTATTTTTTAAATACAAAATATATTTATGAACAGTAAAATATTATTATAATAAATAAAAAATTAAAATAAATAATTTTTTAAATATTAAAGTGGTGAAGTTGATTAATAAACGTTCAGATATCAAAAATAATTTTCAGTAGTAAAATAAAGTTGGTTAATAAAGTGTAAAATATTGGTTAATGAAATTATGAAGTTGGTTAATAAACGCTCAGATATTAAAGATGATTTTTAGTAATAAAACAAAATCGATTGATGAAGTGTAAAAATATTAATTAATGAAATTATGAAGTTGGTTAATAAACGCTCAGATTTTAAAATTAATAATAGTAAAATAAAGTTAGTTAATGAAATGTGAAATATTGATTAATGAAGTTATGAAATTGGTTAATGATATAATTTTATATGGGTACCTCTTAATCTAAACAAATTATAAAATTATTTTTTTAAAAATAAATATTATTATAATAATATTATACTGTATATTTTTTATTTGAAAAATACTATTCACCGTATAAATATGGTGAATAGTGTTTGGTGTAAGTATTGGTGTAGAAAATGAATGTAAGAATAGCATTACTCTTATACAGATTCTTACAAATGACAAAAAGTATTCAGTCATAAAATCTCTCTTCTGGACTGGTTAAAAACCAAGAAAGAAGACCTAATTATCAAGAAATCATGCAAGACCTAATTATCAATCCCATGTCTCATGCTGGCTACACGTTAAGGGATCATAAACTATTTTACAAGGAGAAATTGGTGTTGTCAAAATCATCCTCCAGGATTCCCATCATTTTAAAAGAATTTCATTCATCTTTGGTAGGAGGACACTCAGGAATCTTCAGGACTTATAAAAGAATAGTCGATCTAGTTTATTGGGAAGGGATGAAAACCGACATCAAAAATTCCGTTGCAGCTTGCGAAGTCTGTCAAAGAAACAAAAGCGACAACTTGTCATCGGCAGGACTACTACAGCCATTACCAATTCCTACTCAAGTATGGACAGACATTTCGATGGATTTTATTGGAGGACTACCCAAATCCATGGGGAAGGATAAATTCTGGTGGTGGTTGACCGGCTCACCAAATATGCACACTTCATAACATTAGGGCATCCTTACACTGCTATCGATGTTGCTGCAGTTTTTCTACAGGAAGTTGTAAGATTGCATGGATTTCCGTCTTCCATTGTTTCAGACCGCGATCCTTTGTTTTTAAGTAATTTTTGGAAAGCCCTTTTTAAAGCAGCAGGTACACAACTAAAATTCAGTTCGGCATACCATCCTCAAACGGATGGACAAACTGAAGTTGTCAATTGATGCTTGGAGGTTTATTTACGATGCTTAACAGGTACTAAGCCTAAGAAATGGGTCTCTTGTCTTCCCTGGGCAGAATTCTGGTTTAATACCAATTATAATGCTTCAAGCAAAATGTCCCCTTTCAAAGCATTGTATGGACATGATCCACCTCACATTCTTAAGGGATCCACCATTCCTTCCCGCCTTGAAGAAGTCAACAAACTTACAATTGCTCGAGATGAATTATTGGCGGCTCTGAGAGAGAATTTGTTGAAGTCCCAAGATGTCATGCGCACAAATGCGAACAAACGCCGCCGAGATATAGCATATGAAATCGGTGATTGGGTGTTCTTAAAGATGCAACCTTACAGGAGAAAATCCTTGGCTAAAAGGATTAATGAAAAACTCTCGCCTCGATTTTATGGTCCTTTCCAGGTGTTAAAAAAAGTGGGTGTTGTTGCTTACATTTTGGATCTTCCATCTCATAGTAAAATTCATCCAGTATTTCATGTCTCTCTCCTCAAGAAGGCCATTGGTGATTCTTTCCAATCTCAACCTTTACCACCTATGATATCTGAGGATCAGGAATTACAGGTTTATCCGGACTCTGTTTTAGATATTCGTGAATTACAACCTGGCAACGTGGAAGTCTTAGTTAAGTGGCAAAATCTGCCTACAAGTGAAAATAGTTGGGAATCTGTGGCTAAATTACAAGAGGTCTTTCCAGATTATCACCTTGAGGACAAGGTGAATATTTTAAGAGGGGGTATTGATAAGCCTAGGCCACCCATCACCAAGTTTTACACCCGCAGGCAGCGACTCCCAAGGAGTGCAGGATCAGGAGATGCGAATCAGGGGGCGTGACCCTTGGTGAACAGACACACCCACCCGAAAGGATGCGACCCTTGGAACCAAACAGCATCAAATCTAACAATTATAACCCTTCAAATTAATTGTGCCAATTAGGAACAGATGTAAATGTAGTATAAATAGAAGCAAATCAGAATTAGGAAGACATTCAGAAAATTAGGAAGAATTTGAATTGTGGAGAGACAGGTTCTCGAAAACCTGTGTTGTAATAATCCAATATTATCTACATAAATTTCAGTATTCATCTTTTCATTTCTGTTTCAATTTTTTTGGCTCTTATCAACTCTTCAGTTCGAGAAGGAACCCACGTCAATCAAAACATATTTAGTGTCTCCAGATACCATATTTATTGGTGAATCATAAACAATATTCATTGTCTCCTGATACACCCATGTCAATAGGTCTTCGTCCATTTATCCCGAGAAGTGTAACAACTATTTCGGTCAATTTCTGTTTTACATCCAGTACATAAAAAGAACGTACGTAAGTATAAACACGAGATTGAGATTCCAACCACCATATTACTTTGTTATTTGTGGGGTCACAACCAAAATTGCAACAATACGCCCTAATATAAGTCTGAGTCTTTCGTTCTCGCTTGAAGTCGCTCACGACTATTGGATTTGTCAAAGGAAAAGTTGGGAAAATAAAAACCCTATAAATTTCTCTATAATCAAGGCCACCAGCCATCACTCCATTATCAGAAGCAAGATTTCTTTTGATTCTTCCATATTTATTTTCACATGAACCCGAGAAAATGATAAATAAGTACATAAGAAAAAGATATATTGTTCATTATCTTTGAAGAAGGGAGATTCTTGATGCACATGTGATTCATACCGTCAGAACTCCGCGAGAGGTGTCAGAATAATAATTGGCAGAAAAATGTAACAAGAAATGAAGTTGAAAGCAGAAAGAGCAACGAAAGAATGTCTAAAGCTCATAAGTAGCAGAAGCTAAAAGAAGAGAAAGTTCTCCCTTAAATATTCATATATTATTTGGTTGACTACCACATGATCAACATTAGAAGATATGGGGAAGTGTACCCATGCTATCAACAGTTCTGATCGATCGTCGATTTACTTAGGCACTCAAGTACTCTAAAGAAGACACTTTTATCGCCAAACTTAGAGCTACATGTTGAGTTTGCTCTACAAAATGTGGCGGTTGCAAGACAGTTATTTAATACTTGTGTTCCTGAGGCCACCTGCTCTAACTCATCATACTTTTCCACTTCTACAAGTCAAAGGCTTATCGAGAAGCCATAGACGGTAATTAAGAGCGGCCTGGGCGTTACAATCTTTGCTTCACTAAAAATCAGCAGGGACTTAGGGGTAACTGTTATGAGTCGGCCAAAGGCTCAAGGAAGAAGGTCTAATTGTAAGGCCCAATCCAGAATACCAACTCAGTCAGCAGAGGAACATGTAAGACCTCATCAAAAAGTCTGACACATGATCCCAACTATTGGTACATTGTTCATCATTAGATCTGATCAGACGACTCCTCACATTGCACGTCGGGTTAAACAAAAGTGGTGTTAACTGTCGACCATATATAAGCTAGACCACACGCCATTTATAAGTATTATCTCACTCTCACTCTCAAACTTCATCTCTCTAACTTCACTGACTTGTGTGTTAAAGTGTTAACCTTGCAAGTCTTTTCTGTTTCGACGTGTATGAAGCTCTCACCGCTATACCACAAAAGTTCATTCTCACCGCACCTTCTTTTTCTCGTTCCACCACAGAATTGTAATTAAAGATTCTAAATTGTAGTCGCAATTGTAGTTGCGAAACACAACCTTCTTTTTATTTCTTTTAAAAATATAAGATACCACATTTGCTTCATCCTTTTTTTTTCTTTCTCCTTTAGTAACTTTTTTTGAATTTATGCTGGCTTTATCTGTCAATTCAAAAGATGATGATGTGGAAAATGGTGGGAAACTATCCGATCTAAGTAAAAAAAAGCTTTGATTTCAGGGTCCACATTAATTGTTATATTCTCTAATTTCTTATACACCTTCACTTGCTTACAACAAAACAAACTACATTGATGAACATGGAAAATCATATATTGTTGCAGAAGCATGCAGCTGACAGTTAATGCTGTATATCACTGCAATCTTCAGCTTTTTATACTTACATGAACATGAACATGAAGCTCTTCATATCAAACATACATAATCTTACATCACTTCTATAAAATAGTTTAAGTATAAATAATTCACTACTTAAGTATATTCAATAGTGGTTAACTAAAGTAATGTGAAGTCAAAAAAGTTGCCTCTTTAAACTAAAACAAAAAGAGAATTAAAGAAAAAAGATAAAGTAATGAGTGACAACAAGTATAAAGAAAGCAGTGTAGAAAACCTACTTGCTACATTCTCTCTCTTTGAAACTCTTTCTGTTAGTTTTACAATTCTGTGATAGAAGAAAAGAGAGAAACCATTAAACCAGCTTCTTAAGACAAAGAGGGAGTGTAAGGGGGTGTATATATCAAGTGATGCGCTCAGGAGGTTGTGCATTGCAGCAGACCCTCACATCAGAGGCTGCTTCAGTTTTGAAGCATTCTCTTGTGTTGGCTAGAAGGAGAGGCCACCCACAGGTCACTCCTCTACATGTAGCAATCACTTTACTAACCTTAAGGCTAAGTTCTTTCAAAAGGGCTTGTCTTAAATCTCATCAACCACATCACCAAACTTCATATCATCATCATCCTCTTCAATCTCGAGCTCTCGAGCTTTGTTTCAATGTAGCTCTTAATAGGCTCCCGACAACACCGTCTCCTTTGATTCACTCTCAACCTTCACTTTCCAATGCCCTCATTGCGGCGTTGAAAAGAGCTCAGGCTCATCAAAGACGAGGCTCCATAGAGCAGCAGCAGCAGCAAACGGTTCTTACCGTGAAAGTTGAGCTTGAACAGCTTATTATATCGATTCTCGATGACCCTAGTGTTAGTAGGGTTATGAGAGAAGCTGGATTCTCTAGTACTCTTGTTAAGAACAACTTAGAGGATTCTTTTTCGCCTTCTAATTCAGTTTTTAAATGTTATAATAGTTCTGGTGGTGGCGTGTTTTCGTCTCCTTGTTCACCTTCTACTAGTGAGAATCATAGAGAAAACATTAACCTTGGAAGTTTCAGACAGAACCATTTCATGGCTTCTACTAATGCTAACTACAGTTCTTCTGAGTTTAACTCACTTCTCTTTTCTCCACCAAAGAGAACTGAGTTGTTGACTACTTCAAATGGACTTGGCTTGACCCTTCATTCTTCCAGGTAACCTTTTGCTTAATCAATAACAATAATATCAAGCTTTGTTCAATGCAAAAAATACTACTAAGTGCATGTTTGAATTTAAGGCGTGTTTGACAAAATCAAAATAGCACAATGATTTTGCTTACAGTGATATGCGTGGTTCTGTTATACTCACTGTTAATCCAAACATAAACTAAGTGTACGTTTGGACTCACAGTGAGTTAAGCAAAACCACGGTGTATCACTGATTTTGCCAATCTATTAACAACATAATGCTGTTCTTAATTTGTTTGATTTAGTGCATAATCACTTAAAATTTCTCATAATGACTTATAAAATGCAACCATGAAAGAAGGTAAACATAAGTACATAAAAGTGTTGTGTAGCTCTGACGGTATATTTGAAAGGTTATTATGTTTGGCAATTTGTTGAGGAATATGTACGGTTACTGAGCCATGGCAAAACACATGCTAAAAGCATTGTTGGTTGGTAGTAAGGCAATATATGAAGCAGAGTCTTTCCTTCTGCCTCACTTTGGTTTGTCAGTATATAACAAACCTCTTACACATTAAGCACTCAAATTATTTTGGGTTGGAGAAATAAAAAGACTACACTTCTGTAATTATTTGGAAAAAAATGAATAAATTGAACGCAATTATAAGTGTCAGTGTTGCGTCGGTGTCAGACAGTGACACAGACACACATACGCCTTTTTTCAGAGGCGTCATTGCTACATAGTTACACTTTATCTAAAGGAAAATAAAGAAGAAAATTTGTGTTTTCTTAAATAACAGAAAAGCATTTTAATTACAGTGTTTATTTATTTGTTTGATTCTGGATGTTAATTTTGTTGAGATTCTGCACTTAATTTGCAGTGTTCTTGATTCAAGGATAAGCATCTCTCAGAATCCATCTCCTATGATGGAAACAAAGCCATTTAGTAGCGATAAGGAGCATGAGGATAAGCTTAATTGCTGTGAAGAATGTGCATCCAACTATGAAAAAGAAGCTCAGTTTCTCAAACCTCAACAGAAGAAAACATTGCCTTTCTGGCTTCAGTCTCATGGCACAGAAGAACCAAAAAAGGTAACAAATTATTAAACAGCTATGTAGCACCAATACCTCTGAAAAAATGTGTCCGTGAACACGACATTGTCGATCTGTCAGTATCGTGTCCGGTGTCTAGTGTCCGTATCTGTGTGGTTGAATCGTAAACTAGTATTCACATCTATGTTAGTACTATTGGCTTATGAATGAGTAATTTTACAATTTTCAGGATGGATTAACCGAGTTGAAACGTAAATGGAATAGACTATGCCATTGTCTCCACCAAAACAAACAGCAACAAAACCACTGGAATTGGAGCAACAACAATCACAGTTCAAACCACAATAACACATCAAGTTCCATATCTAATAACTCCAATCATACACCTCGATTTCGTCGCCAACAATCGTGCATCATCGAGTTCAACCTCAACGATAAAAGGCAAGCAGCCAAGCCATTCTTTGATTCTTTCGAAAGCATGGAAGCTAAAGAAGTAAAGATCACTCTTGCACTTGGAAATGGTAGTGATTCAAGTGAAAAGGTGATACAACAAACTCATGTTAGTATTTGTAAACTATTGGAAGAGAATGTGCCATGGCAATCCGAAACAGTTTCTTCAATAGCAAAGGCCTTGAGTGATTATACCAAATTATCAAAACAAAGTGAAATCACATTCACATGGTTATTTCTACAAGGCAATGATTTCATAGGCAAAAGAAGATTAGCACTTGCTATAGCAGAATCAGTTTTTGGTTCAGCTGATTTGGTTCTTCACATGGACATGCTAAAAAAGGAAACTTTAACAACCCCATTTTCTGAAATGCTATTAGGAGCATTGAGAACACATCAACAGCTTGTGGTTTTAATAGAAAATGTTGATTCTGCTGATACCCATTTCCTGAAATTTCTCTCAAATGCATATGAAAAAGGAAAGTTTGAAACTTTAAGCAGCAAAGAGGGGAATTTAGGTCAAATTATATTCATACTAACAAATGGAGGATCCACAAGCATTGAAGAGAAGAAGAACAAAGCTGTAATCAATTTGTTGTGGCAGATAACTGAAACTAAACCTAATTTTTACAGCCCCAAGAGAAAATCTGAATTGGATCTGTTTTCCAAAATCAAGAACCCTAGAATTGAAGAAAATCAAAAGGGGTTGTTGATTTCTGAACAAGGAAGCAAAAAGACAGAATTTTTAAGACAATCAAGCTTTAACAGTAACACTCTTGATCTGAACACGAAAGCTGAAGAAGAAGAAGAAGAAGAAGTTGAAGATAGCCCTAATCCAAGTGATTTAACTAGAGAAACTGTAAATGATCCATTGAACTCAAAAGGGTTTCTTGATTCAATTGAGAACAGGTTTGAGTTCAACACAAATTCAGACAAGGACAGAGAAAAGACAGAGTTTTTTCTGTCTAAGATGAAAGGGTCATTTGAAGAGGTTTATGGTAAAAAGAATGTGGTGAATTTTAGTGTAGATGAGAAAGTGATTGAGAACATGTGTGTTGGGTGTTGTTTTTTTACTAACAAAATGTTTGAGAAATGGCTGAAAGACATTTTTCAAAGGAGTTTAGAAACAGTTAACTTTGGAGGGAAGGAGGGTATACTTTTTAGACTTTGTTTGGAGGGTGGTGATAGAAATTGGGACAGTGGATTTAATGGTTCTTGTTTGCCTAAGAGTATCAAAGTTGATTGCTTTATGGAGTAAGCAATTTTGGGTTCTTAGGGTTTCTTGTAAAATGGGATAGTTTGTGACTTTGTGTAACTTTTAAATTTCATAGTAGTATGTTTTTCTTTTAACTTCTCTCTGTAACGATTGTGTTATGTCAATCAAATTTTGTAGTTTAATTCTAATAGAGTTTTGTTATTCGAAGATAGGTTAAAAGATAAGCAAAATTTTCCTTTTCTTGTAACAATTATGGCGGGTCATGTTGGTGGAGTAGGCAACAGGGGTGTAAGTATTTGTGGATGACACAAGTAGCTCAGTCCTTTCGAGTAAATCTTGAAGATAGCCAGTAGGGATGATAAAATGGCTCTCGGACACCGGACATATCTGTTTTGTGTTTTTATTTTTTTGGTGAGTCAAAGTTTTAGTCTCGTACGCTCTAATATGTTGATTTTGTCCCACCCATTTTTTTATGAACTTTTATGGGCACGGGAATTAATTTTAAAATTTGTAATTTTTATCGTTAAAAAAAACAATGTGTGCGGAACTGTCCTGTCCCGCATTCATTTTTTTGAGGGACATGACAAGATTTTCTAACTGCATTCTCAACAAAACGCGTCTCGTTCCATCACATTTTTTTGAATTTTTGCGAAACGGAACTAAATGAGACGGGCATAGGCGTTTACCATCCCTACCTATATGTTTAGACTAACACTTAACAAAAATATTGTTATATAAATATATGACCGGTTAAATAAAAAGTTTATGTTGAGCATTCCATACATGTAAAAATTTATGTTGAGCACTCCATATATGTAAGAAAGTCCATATACATAATATTTTAAGATTGTAGGTTAATATTTAATTTACCACCTCCTGAGTTGGACATGGCCACCCCCTTAAAACGAATGAAAAGATCATAATAATCTTACACACAGTTTTCACTATTTTGCGAAATTCACGGTAAGGAATCGAACATTTCAAAACTCAAGGTGATATCGGAAATTTCACGTGCATACCGAAAATTCTTCAAAAAAAAGTAAGTGGAATACCGAAAAAGTGGAAATTTACGGAAGGATGTTTCAAAACTTCTGGAAGTAATTCACGAAAATTTCTGGTAGTTCAATTTTTTATGAAAAATCCCAGAATTTTCAAAAAAAATGGCAGCTTATGCTTCTTTCACTATTTTTTTTGGTCGTTTTTTCTTTTTTTCTTCAGTGAGGACCATGGGAAAGGACGGGTGCGTTGGAGGGAGGTTGACCGATAGAGCGGAAGCTCAGGCTAGGGATAATAAGGCATAGGTTTCCCAGTTATGGACTAGACGACATGCTCCAACCGGTTCTCACCGAAAACAGATGACTGAACAGGCATAGTTCGGTACACCCCGACGTCGAGCTGTTAGAATTTCTACTATTGTGGAGGTGCCTACTTCTGTGGAGGTACCTGTTGTTGTGAAGGTCCTTACTCATGTGGAGTTACCTACTACCGTGGAGGTACTTGTACATGTTGTTGATGAGGTACCTCTTGTAGATTTTGTAGTCGATGAGGTTACTATTGAAGAGGTTCATGAGGAGGTTGAGCAGGTTCTTGATGTTGTTGAGGTGTCTCTCATACCTCACGTCCATGATGATACTCCTATTGACACAGACGTCGTTGTACATGTTTCTACAAAGCCATTTGTTCACACTGATAGAGCCTTTCTAGGAGGACTTAGTGACTGATCTGTCCTCACAAGGTATGGTGACTGATAAGTGCAAATTGTAGCTATTTTTTATATACTTTTTGTTGCACTTATCGACTTTTTGTTGTTAATATCGGTTGAATAAACCCTACTTTTGTGTAAATACGTTTAGTTTGTACATAATTGAGTTTTTGATTCATTTGTGTAACGTTTGATAGATTTTACTTCTTTTGTAGGTATTTGTTGCACATTTGAAGCATCGAGGAATAAAGTGTCGAAGGCGCGGCTCCGGATGCGCGTTTTCGGAATAAAAGTCTATTTTTGAGAAGTTATGTCTAGGCAGGCGCGCTAAGCGGGAACGGTAGTGCGCTATGAGTGTTTTGACAGATTTGGCAGAAGTGTATTTTTTTGGAACGTTAAGCGCGAGTAGCCTGTTTAGCGCGATTTTAGGCGGTTTGATGTGTAAAATAAAGAAGTCGTGCTTAGCACGGCAGGCTCGCTTAGTGCGGTCTGCTGAGATTTATTTTATAACTTCATTTCATTCATTTGTTAGGTTATGGTTTTTGGGGGGTATTTGTTCCCAAATTTCATCACTCTCATTTTTTGGTATATTAGCTTAGAAAACAACAATGGAGCTTGCATACAGATGATCCGGGGTAGATTGCTCTTCGATCGGCGCTGACAAACTGGGAGATTTATGGTTTATTTCTCTTCACCTTTGTGTATTCTCTATTTGTTGAGTTTGTATATGTATTTTCTTTGAAATCGTGTATGTTTGCCGCCCTTGGCTTAATATTTAATTTGCTTTACAAATATTTGTTGATTATTGTCCTAGATTTTTGCTATGTGCTTGGGGTTTGGGTTGCTATAGACATATACTGCTCGAATTCTTATCTAGGTTGATTGTCTAATAATGTCTAGATTCTAGAGATAGATTTAGTGCTATTATTCATTTGGATATCTGTGATTAATTCCTCCGTGTTGGTTGTGTTGTGTTGAGAGATTATCGACGCGATTAGCACGGTTGACTTATGTGTTTTTGAGGTTGGTTGAGAGATCGCCACCGAGTTGATACAGCGGGTGTTGTGTTTGATATATGATGACATTGATGAGTCTTGTAGGTTGAGTATAACTGGTCGATAGGTTTAAGTTTGTGAAGAGTGGATTATATGCATGCTTGACGAGTCTCTTCTCCAAAGAATGAATTCTTTTTCTGTTAATAACTTTAATTTCTCGCATTTACTTCAAATCCATTTTAACCCAAACTCATTAACGAGATATTTTTCGAACGAAAATTCAGTAGCACTAATCCCTGTGGAGACGATACGATATAACTTATATCACCCTAAAATAAAAATACTTGCTTTTTCTTTTCCGCTTCAACAATGACCATGTCACATACAGAGTATGGCAGGGAGATGTATATACGTTATTTTTTATTGCAAAGTATTTCTTATGGTTTGGTGAAGTGTTGAAAGTTTATTAATACTTTTTTAACATTTTTTCCTACAAGAGCGTCTGACGATGAAGGTCGTATCCCACAGTTTAATGTTGAATAACTTCACACTGACTCTGATGCATGCGCAGGTGAGGTGTATTGTTTCTGATTTCAGTCTCCTGAAGTTCTCCAACTGCCCACTGACCATGCTCGACGCCTCCCTTCTATATGTTTTTGTTGAGCGGTGGCACTCGGAGACATCATCCTTTCATCTTCCATTTGGGGAGATGACTATCACTTTGGATGATGTCTCCTCGTTGTTTCATCTCCCCATCATCAATAGATTATTTATTGGTTTTGTCATTAACCAGACGATAACGTTGATACAGGTTGTAGAGGATCTGCAAATACTTGAAGATGTTGTGCTAAAGGATTTTAACTTTAACAGGGGATTTCACCTTCGGATGTTTTGGTTGCGAGACAGGTACCAGGAGCTTGTGGAGGCGGAGTTGTGTGAGGTTGCCGTTAGGGCATACATGCTACATTTTATGACATTTACTCTATTTGCAGATAAGTCAGGTGTTTATAATGATGTTTGATACATGTGGTTGTTCAGTAGCCTAAAGACCACGTGTTGGGCTTGGGGAGTAACGGCGTTGACCATGCTCTATACGACACTTGGAGTTGTGACTGTGCTTGAGACTAGACGACTTACTGGTTATTTGAATGTATTACAAGTAAACAAACATTTTTTAATCATTTTTATTTAATTGTTGTATGTGATATTAATTAGTTTTTATTTATACAGTGTTGGATATACGAGCATTTTCCCCACATTTATGATAGGAGAGTGCAGCGGGCCCTAGCGAACACTCCACGAGCGAGAAGATAGAAGGCAAGGTAAGTGGTTCATGGTGGTGTTGCAGAGTATATAAGGAGGCTTGATGCTCTGATAGTATATGATGTCATCTGGGCACCATACACATCTCACCAAGCCCATCATGCATTTGACGACGCTTAATTTCTTATATTTAAGGCATATGAGGTGGGAGACCCATGTTGCTAGACACTTGCCTGAGAGGTATTTGCGACAGTATGGTTATGTCTAGGGCATCCCTTGACTAGTACTTGAGGATCCAAAAGGGGGCATTGACAAATGGTTTCAGAGCAACATCATCAGTTCTGCTCGTGCCATTAGATCTAGCGTAGTGAGTGTTTAGCACCCTTCGCACCGTGATAATGGTTACCTGGAGTGGTATCTCGCTATATCACACTCTCGCTTAATACCATCAACTGTAAGGTCTTTCGATGTTGCAAGGCTTTCTGCTGCTAGGGTTTCTGATGCTGAAGTATAGGCTACTGACGTGCCGCCACCACCAATTCCACCTACTGCAAATGACCATGATCGCCTCCAATTGATTGTTATTATTGTGGATAACCCCATGGGTTTGGTAAACCCGGATGGTGAGCTTTTTACATGATTATTTAGGCTAGCGCACATAGCCTATGGGGGCCTATGTAGATGCATTATATGTTAGTTGTATTATATGTATATTTTGTGATCCAGACTACTTATCACAATATTTTTTATTGCATAATATTTTGGTGATTACATGTTTCGATTCAAAGATGAATATAACATAAAACAATACAACAAACATAACTAAAAATAACTAAACACGAAAACCTAGGTATTACCAGATGATTCTGGACGTTTCAGCATCTTGATTATGTCGTTGACAAATCTTGTAATATGTGCATCAAACTCGGTTGGCCCCTTAGCTATCCTACGGCAAAATGATTTCCGCGTGGTTGTCACGTCTTCATCGGTCTTCAACTCAATCAGGTTGTATTTAACCCTTCCATTACCATCTATCAAATCTTCCTGAAACTTAGTCTTTCTCACCCTTCTGTTATCGATAT